GCCAATTGAGGCTGTAGACAAGTAATTTAAACCAGGAGAGAAGACTAACAGCGCAAAGGCACATTTGTCTCTCTCCCCTTCTCACGATACCCCTCTGGCGCCTCCAACCTGTTCAACTACTCATGGTACCGGCTTCGACAATTTGGATTCGAATACTTCTCCCTCCTCCAGATGAAGCTCAAGTCTATGCCTGACTGGACAACACGGCCCAAATGGAAGATCGCCCGCGGCAAGATTGCACCCACAGCGAAGAACATGTACATGGAGATGCTCGGGGCCTTTGCTGCCGGTGACAAGGCTGCTGTCAACGAGCTATGTCTGGGCCAGTTCGGAAAGAAGCTCATCGCCGCTATCGATCGTCGAAACCCCGCTGAGCGTGTTACATTTGAGCTTGTCAAGCTCAATTCGACATGGGCATACCCTCGCGTGATGGCACATCAGGTCCACAACGTGAATCCTCACGACAAGGAGCACAGCACAGAACAGGCTGTTGTTGCGATTGCCTCAACACAAAAGGTAGCAAAATACAAGAAGGCCACCGGCGAGCTCATCCCCGGAAGCACAAAGGTGCAGGACAAGATGGAATACGTGGTAGTCTCACGACAGATCAACGAGAAGACATTCCAGGCTGGACCATGGCGCATATGGGGAACCATTTCTCCAACAACACTAGAAGCGTTCCAGGAGGAGCAGGATTGGATCACCAGGGAACAGGCCAAGCGAGCTGGATGGGAAGGACCTCTGAAATAAAAAGGTGCAATTGTATAAATACGCTGTAATGCTCATGATGTTAGTGAGCGGAGGAGGAGGAGACATGTAAAATGAGAGTGTGTATTGTACGATGAGCATGTTTTGTACTATTATTTTAGAATACCTTAGCATTGAGACCGGCGAACGGACAGCTATCAAGTACTTCTCCAATTCAGTTCAAGCGATCAGTTGCTGATATGTGTGATGGTGCATTTGAGAGCATGTTTGAGGATTCAACGCGTAGAAGGTGACATTGAAGATAGTATTCTTGAGAAGCGAATGAGAAGAGATCAATTGATTTGGTATTGGATATTGTACAGTGGTGTTTCTGCTGGATCATGAATTATTGGGGATGCCATTTACTAGATTGTCACTGTGGTATCCCTGGCGTCTTGTTATATAAACTGAGTGCTATCGCTAGGCAGTTTATGGCATGTCCTGGCTCCGTTCTTATCAGGACAAAATAAATGATTAATCTGGCAGACATAGTAATTCTCATGCTATGCGAGTTCTAAGCTAGTGCTGCAGGTCGGTAAAAAAGTTGTGGCATGGGAACTCCTGAGCTGAAAGATTAGGCTTATGCTAAAATACTGGTATAAATATTCTTGATTGACCTATCGATTACTTTTTGCTAAACCTTCCAACCACGAAACCGATATTGCATCAAACCCCCAATTGATTGCCAAACTTTTATGATAGAACAGAATCCAAAGGCATCTGTTTAGTGTCCCCTTTAAAAGAACTTGCCAGGGGTCGAAGAAACGAGGTTCTCAGTGGGAATGTCCTCCTCCGTGCTTGAAGGACGAAGGTCCACGGGACGATCCAAAGCATCAAAGCGATGTCCACGGATCTTAGCAGACATGTACTGGTAAGAGAGACGGAGGACGAGAGCACCACAGCCCCAGAGAAGACTTCCAACAGGGGCAGCGACGAAAGCGCCAAAGGCACTCCAGTCATTGCCGTAGAGACCCTTCTGCACAAGGAGAAGCTCACCGGCCTCCTGAGCGTTACCGTAGTAGATGCATCCAAAGATGAAGACGGTCAGGATACCTCCAAGACCACCGACAACAACCTCAAAGCCACGCCACCAGTAAAATTTATCGACGAGACCGATGACCAGGACAGGAATTGTAGCAGCGGAGATGAGATCGGTGATGAGCCAGATCTGAAGAACGGAGGGGGCCTTGAGAGCGATGACGATGACGGGGATGATGATGAGGACGACAAAGGCACGGATGTACCAGATGTTGAGCTTGTTGCGGAAGAGATCGTTGGAGCCGGAAGAGACCATAGCAGACTGAAGACTGTCAAAGGCAGCTGTGCTCATGGTGACGACCATGACGAGAACAATGCCAACAACCCAGCTGGGAAGGGTCTCGAGGAGCACAAAGAAGGCGACTGAACCAGAACCAGCAGCATCCTCAAGAGACAGAGCTCCAGACCAAACGGCGATGAGACCAGTGGAACCAACGAGAGTGAGGATACACAGAATGACGATCGTGGCGATGGTGGTACCGATTCGGAGATCCTTGTCAGTCTTGGAGGCGAAAGTTCGAAGCCAGAAGGAGGAGAGGAAGAAGTCGTTGGTCAAGACAGCAACAGGTAGAATGTACAGGAGCTGCCAGCCGAGGAGGTTGGACTTGGTGAGACCAGACTCCTCGATGAGAGGTCGCTGAATCTCGGTCTTAGCGCCAATGGTGATGGCGGCTATGATGACGAGACCGATGACCATGGTACCTTGGGCAACATCGGTGATGAACGAGATTCTGAATCCACCAAGGGCTGTAGACAGTTAGACAAGCCATGTAACCGCAACACAGGGAAACTCACAGGTATAGATAGTAGTGACAGCGCACTGGACAATCATAACCGGAAGAGGCTTGAGGCCAGTCATGGCGTTAACAACCTGCCCAATAGCCGACAGCTCACCAACCATGTACAAGAACAAGGTCACAAGAGACATGAAGCTCAGATACAGCATAGTGATAACACCGTATCGCTGGCGAGTCCACTCGGTGAGGACGAAACCCTCAGGGCATCGTCGTCGAATGATAGGGCCGAGGTATCCAAAGATGAGCATAGGCAGCGACGACGCAAGAGCGTAGACGATCATGCCCTGGACACCAGAAATGGTGGCCAACTCGGGATACGAGAAGAGAATACCGGATCCGAGAGCTACAAGAGTCAGTTGTCATTCCAACGTTGAAAAGGGGGGGGGGCAGGGGATAGATTGGAGCGGCAACACTTTTCCCACGCAAGCATTAACTTGATCGAGTATTTACGGTACAATCTCAGCTTCGTCGTCGCACGCCAGGATCTCCCCAGAAGGGACATGTCTGCAATCGCAAACACGCTCCGAGGTTGGATCCAGACGATACGTCAACTCAGCGCCCGTAGTGAGCCGCATCCTCTCCCCCCAGCCTCCCGAGATTGCCTCTCTGGAGCAGGTAGTTCGAGTAGCCGAGCTCAGTTGAGAGTGACCTCAACTGAGCTGGATGGGGTTAGTAGCAACAGAGTCTGAGAGCAACTCAGGAGGGGAGGGGGAAGAGAAGGAAGATCTTCTTTCAATGTACGAACCTGCTCGTTCATTTTCTGACTGGTATATACTCGACCGAGAAGTGTCAGGTTGGAGTCTCTGTGTGAGGTCTCACAGCCATGTTCTTCGTTTTTGCTGACATGTTGCAGTTTGCCACCGCTCCGGAGTGCTGTAGCAAGAGCTCTTGTGGCTCTACTCACCGGAGGCGATGAAGTTGAGGGCCAGAGGGAAGGCTGTTATTGTGGTTAGTTTGTGTTCTTTGTAGTGGGAGCTGAAAACTGAGATGTTTGTGAGTGGAGGGGCAAAGTTGCCTTGTCACCTCTCACAAGCATCTTGTAACTGGGAATTTCTAACCCGTCTGAGTTCCATTTCCTGAAAGGAAATCGGCCTTTGACTGATTTCTCATCTTCCAAGCAATGCCAGTTCCCATCAGTCTGTTCCGAAAGTCAGCTTCAATACGAAAATATAAGCGATATCGGATACGAACAGGAAAAGGGCGTAAGTGACATAGATGACGGCATTGGACGCCGTGTACGAGGGAAAACCCATTGTGAGTTAAATCAAGGCGACGATTCTTCGTTAATGAGATGCGTCCAAGTCGTTTCTCAATGGAAATTGTCAATTGACGATGTAAGTGAAGAGGAAGAAGAGTGCGAGAAAAATTGCAACTCAAGTCAATTAAAAAGTCGCTCCTGGTCTGGTATGATTAGCTAGCGTAGGAATAGAACCTCCTTCTACACCCGATCTAGTAACGTTCTATCGCCAAATTGACTGCATAGAGGAAATCTGGACCATCAAATGCTTGTCGCTTTTACTACGGAGAGTGGGGGTCACTGTAGTATCCATGGGCCACTGTAAACCGCATGATCATGGCCCACGATGGATGATCGGCCGACGCTGAATTTCCCTGAGGGACATCATATCATATCATATCATTGGATGTGGCAACTTTCGGCCCTTTTTGTAAGTCTCAGTCATATCGTCACATCATCACTCATTCATTCATTCATTCACAATTGCGTGCATTCAAGAAACAGGGACAAGAGTTTTGGTGGGACAAAGTCCTATTAGTGGGATTGCTCCCTTGTTCTCTTTTTTTGTGCTTTTCTGGGAGGTTGACAGTATAAATGAAGAACAGGAACGAAAAGAAAAGAAATCGTCAAGTAAGCAAATCCGTACATAGACGAGAAAACCACAGAGACACCTCGTCTCTCGTATCTGACCGTGGTTCCGAAAGCAATCCAGTCTCATCCAACCCTGTTGTGTCGAAGATCTGTTCTGTCTAAGGGCATCCAAGCCGATATGATTGGTGTGATGTGATGTCTCTTGTAAATCTTGTCGTCTGTCTTTGTGCTGTGGCTCGGGGAAATGCATGCCTAGCATGCTGGTGCGGTGATGTGCCTGGCGGGGAATTAAAAAACAGGTGGCCGGTTGCGAAGGAAACTTTTTGAGAAACAAAAAAAAGTCGTCAAAGAGCGATCAGGTCGAGCTTTAGAAATGGCAACTGAGCCTAGGCTCCTAGGCTCGCATGGATATATAGCTGTGCATAGCACTTACAGGCTGGAAAATCGAAAGAAAAGATGGGAAATGCCGAATAAAGGCGCCAAAAAAGTCGAGCTGAAGGGCCAGGTCTGATGGTCCAAGAGTTGTTGAACACTTAGATGCCATCTGCTGTATACCTGGATATAGAGGTTGTGGCAGGGCGTCTGGACGTCTAAGAGTTGTAGCGACGGTAACGCTCTGCTTCCAGTCGCTGGCGGCTCTGGTGGTAGGACTCTGCTGGTCCATGGGGAGCGAAGTTAGAGTGGGGCATACTGCTGTAATTCCCCTGGTAATGCATCTGCTGAGGATGCGCGTACGAAGCATGGCGGCGACCTTGGTACTGAGGTCTACCATGGCTTTGGTATGGGTGGTTGCGAGCATCTTGGGACACATGCATGGGCTCGTGATACTCGCGTTGGTGGTGTTCATGGAAGGGCACCTGAGGTTGCCCCTGATACATGAGGGCGGGATGTGGGGGAGGGGGATACGGAACCTGGGATGGTCCTGGGCCTGCGTACTGATGGTGAGAGGGGCCCGGATACATCTGGATAGGCTCATGGAACTGCGGGTGAGGGTGATGAGGCATGTCCATGTATGTGAAGCCACCAGGAGCGGGAGCGGGAGCCATCGCTTGAGGCTGCATGGGCATGTAGCCCATGGGTGGCATCGGAGGAGGGTATTGAGGGACCATGTGCGTGTAGGGCATAGCAGGCTGGTACATAGGCTGCTGAGCAGCAACGATAAGCTGACCCTCAGGGGCTTGCTGAGAAGCAACGACGAGCTGGCCTTCAGGAGCTCGCTCGGTGGCATCGCTCTTGCGAGACTTCCCACTCTTGCCACGAGGTTGGACGGTTTCGCGAGAAATAGGTCTGCCGCGCATGTTCTCCTCAGATGCATAGGTTCGCTTGAGCTTGGCCTGGTACAAGAGGTTGCGCTTCAAGTTCTCCTCGGACAGATGGCGACGTCGAATAAGGCCTCTCTTGGCCTTCTTCTTCCGGGACCCCTGCTCGTCTTGCGAGCTTCCACTCTCGCGCCAGGTGCTGTCGTCGCTCTCCGAGAGGTCAAGGGGAGGCAGGTTGTTCGTAGTGATAAACATGGACACAGCACGGCGGTGTCCCTTGCCGTTGGCCTTGTCTTCGGCAGCAACCTCACATCGGACCGCGGCAAGTTCTGCAGCAGGCGAAAAGGCCGTAACCCGCGAGTGTCCGGCAGCAAGGCGGTCTTTGAAAGCCCGAAGGTTCGGTGGACTGAACTCCGCGGGAGGTGCAGGTATCTGAAGGGGAATAGGGGATGATCCAGCGTGGGATGGCAGGGTGCTTGGAGAGGGCGCGAAACGAACCATGTTTCCAGACTCAGCGGTGGGAGGGTACTTATCAGGGGATTGGACGGGAGTGACCTCGTCTAATCTAGTGTTTGGGACCGCCAGCTTTGGAACTGGCAGCGGTCGTGGCTGCACCTTCGCTAGCTCGAGTACGTCTTCGGGTCGGTGAGTCTTAAGAAATTCTAGTTCTTCTTGAGACAGACCGGTAGTCGACAACATGCGACGATGGGTGCTTGGGGCAGCGGCCGTGGAGGCGACGCGAGAGCCAAAGCGACGATGAGGACGCTTGATAGGGCGGAGAGGTGAGGGATACATGCGAGCATCATCCACGTGACCAGGCATGCGAGAAGAACCAGAGCTAGACATACGAGAGGAGCCAGAATTGGGAAAGCGAGAACCAGAGTCGGGCAGACGAGTGCCAATGACTTGGGAACCAGTGACACGAGATTCAGGGGTGGGCTTGGTTCTCTTTCGTTCGACCCGAAGGAAGCAGCCTTCAACTTCTTTGCCGTTCTTGGAACAGGTGTTAGCAGACATTCGGTACGCACTCAGAGCCCAACGGAAGACAAAGGAAGAACTTACGAATTCTTCTATGGCTCTGTCAGGGATATCAAACTCGTCGTACTCGACGAAAGCCCAAGGGTGAGGGACTGGGACAGTTAGTTGAGACCAAGCTCAAGGACTGGAGTTACTTACGACCACCGTCCTGGTCAGGGGAAATTCGTAGATCAACAGAACGAACATTCCCACAGATTCCAGCCAGTCGGTAGACCATAGCCTCGTCAGCGTAATGAGGCAGTCCGCCGAAGAAGACTGAGCGACAGTCCTTTTCGTACATCTCCATGAAGGTCTGATCGTCGGCTGGGCGGTCAGAACGCTTCTGAACCATCTTGGGATCGAAAGCCATGATGACGAAGGGCGTAGTAGTACCGATGTCCTTGAACTATATTAGCTCTACGATGAATGAAGTTGTCTAAGATCGAACTTACCCGAATGACATCGCGTTTGGGGTCAAATCTAGAGAACAGAACAAGAAGACTAGGAGGAACGGCGAGCTTGGTCTGAGCATCGTAGTCAAGAACATCGATCTTCTTAATTGGTCCATGGCGGGAAAAAATAGAATGAGCCTCCTCCACGCGAACGGGGCGAGTGTCTTTGCGGAAGATGATATAGGCGACTATGAGAAAGTTAGCATCTGGACAGAAAATTTTGCCAGGAGGACGCACGGTTTCCGCCGCACTTCTCAACTCGGATAGGACGGCCATGGATCATATCTCCACGGGCCTGACGCACCGCAACATCGGCGTGCTTGATTTGCTAATAACAAGTTAGTTCACCATGCGTCATAGAGGACTGATGGGCTATCATGGTCGACTCACAGTGTATTGAACAAAGGCCATAGGCATGTGTCTGGTGCGGTCACGCTTGACCTTGACGAAGACTGTGCCGAACTTGCCAAAATGCTTGGTAAGAGAAGCCCTCAAGGTGAGATCATCGACGTGTTGAGGTAGGCTGAACTCAAGGTCAGTACACGAGTTACACGACAAGCAGACAAGTTACTCACTTGGCCACAAAGAGACAGGCATCTCCAGGGTAAACAGCCTGAGCGTCGAACTCTCGGGGGATGTTGGCAATGGCATCCACGTTAGCTGGTAGAGCGGCGACGGTTTGGACAACTTCGTTCATGGACATGAACCCGCCGGCGAGGGCTTCCTCAGGAATGAGCATCTGGTTTGCCACAATCTGAGCGGTAGGCTCTACGGCCCCTGAGTAGTCGGCGTTGCCTTCTCTTGCTTGATTAGTGTTGTTGTAGGGATAAGAGCTGTATCCAGGCTGAGCGACATCGTCCTTCTGGACAAGAGATGGCATGCTGTTGACTTCTGTCAGCAAAGTTCAACTTGAACTCGTTCTCAAACCAGTGATTACCTTTTGGAGTTAGAGAGCGGTCGGCTAGGAGAGGCTGAGCTTTGTTAGCATATCTGTTTGTTCCGGAAATGGCAAAAAGAATCAAAAAGAAAGCTTGTTCGGGAGAAGCCCCTGAGCTGCTTGCTCGCCAAAAGACACGAAAAGGGGCTACCCCAGAAGCTGCCGCGACACTACGAGAGTAGCCATCGACACTCCAAGAAAGCGCGCAGATCTTTTCTCATCAAAGCAACTTGAAAGACATGAACAAATTTCAAAGACGTTGGCCGCGAGAAACCAGTGTCTTCTACAGAGATCAAGCCACAGCAAACCCGGCTTCGTGCTGAAGGAGAACAAGGAAAAGAAACAAGAGAAAGAGGAGTAGAAGAGCTGATGTTTGCTTTCCAAGACAATCAAAAAGAGATGGGGGGATTCCCAAAGCGATAGAGCTGCAGATTCCAGAAACGAGTGTCTTCGCCACAAATCAAACCACAAAGACCCCGACTTCGTGTCGAAGGCGAAACAAACAGAAGAGAGAGAGGAAGGAGGAGAAGCACTGGTATTTCCTCTTGAAGATCATACAAAAGAGATGAGAGGATTTGCAAAGAAGTAGGCCTGCGCGAAACGAGCGTCTTTGCTAGAGATCAAACCACAGCGCGAAGTCTGGCGCGCTGAATATGAACAGGGAGAGGAAACAAGAAGAGGAGGAGAACCAAGAGAAGAAGAAGAAGAAGCGCTTATATTTTCTCTTCAAGAGGGTACAAAAGAGATGAGGGGATTCCTAAAGAGATAGACTGCGCGAGATGAGCGTCTCTTGACAGGTTGACGCCAGAGATCAAAACAAAAGGAGCCCGACTTCGCGCTGAAGAAAGAACTGATGGACGAAGGAAAAGCAGGAATAGAAGATAATAAATAATGAGAAAACGAGACTCAAGAAGCCAGTGTGTCTTCGCTAGAAATCAAACAACCCGGCGCTTGTGCTCGCGGTCAAGGTAGAGCAGGGAGAAGAATCAGAAGAACAAGAAGGATATACTTACATCTGGGAGAGCCATCACTCTCCGAGTCCTCCTCGTCGCCCGAGTAGTGCATGTTCAGGGCAGAGAAAGCGTTTCGAAGCGTGCGGTTCGTAGAAGCGGCTGCATGCGGTGTTCGGTACTCAGGTGTCGACATGATGATGGCGGCACCGAGGGCGAAGTGACGTCTGATAAGTAGCAACACGATGATGTTAGCTTCAGGTTGAGAGAGGAATGTTGGAAGGAAGAAGAAGGAAGTGTGGGGAGAGGAGAAGGAGGATGTGGCTTTGATGTCTTGATGAGTGGGGGTGGGGGAACAGTGATTCATGAACCCCCTTCGCGAATTGAGGTCTAGTAAGTAGAAAGACGATGAGTCGAGCTTCAAGTTGAGATGGGAATGTTGGGAGGAAGAAGAAAGAAGTGTAGGCAGAGGAGAAGAAGGGTGTAGTTTTGATGGCTTGATGCGGGGACAGTGATTCATGAACCTCGTTGACGAATTGAGGTCTGACAAGTAGCAACACAGTAATTTAAGATTCAAGTTGAGAAGGGGATGTTGGAAGGAAGAAGGAAGAGGTGTAGGGATGGGAGAAGGAGGTGGTGGTTCAGTTGTTTTGATGAGGGGGGGAACAGTGATTCATATACCTTGTCGGCGAACGGAGATCTGGTAAGTAGTAACACAATGATGTTAGCTTCAAGTGGAGAGAGGGATGTTGGAAGGAAGAAGTGTAGGGAGGGGAAGCAGAAGGAAGATGATGTTTTGTCTTTGATGTTTTGATGAGAGGGGGGCTAGTGATTCGTTTACCTCGCCGGAAAAATGAGGTCTGGTAAGGAGTAACACGATGATGTGAGCTTTAAGTCGAGAGAGGGATGTTGTAAGGAAGAAGAGAGAAGTTCAGGAAGTGTAGGAAAAGAAGGAGGTGGTGGTTTTGATGTTTTGATGAAAGGGGGTAGCGATTCACTTACCTTGTTGGCGCGCTTTTCTGCGTTCTTGCTTGACTTGAGAGATGGGAGCGATGGTATCACTATATACCCTTCAAGTCAGTATTTATCGTGATCTGAAGTCTGTTTTGTTTTGTGTGTTGTGTTGAGTTGAGGAGGTGAGGCTCATGATCTTCTCGCGAGAAGACACGGGGGACCAAACGAGCGGCAACAGGTAAAGGGGCAACAGCAGGTGCCAGAACGCGATGAAACGATGGTTATGATGCAATAACCTTCAATTCGTTAATCATCGTGATCTGAAGCCTGTTGTTTGTTGTGTGTTGAGTTGAGAAGGTGAAGCTCGTGATCTCCTCGTGAGAAGATGCGGAGGTCCAAGCGAGCGGCAACAAGTCAAGGGGCAATAACGAGCGCCAGAACGCAAGATGATGAAGACGGTGAGATGGACTTTAGCTCAGTATTTATCGTATTCTGAAGTCTGTTATGTGTTGTGTGGTGAGTTGCGAAGGCGAAGCTCGTGATCTCCTCGCGAGAAGAGAGAGAGGATCACGCGAACGGCAACGAGTGAAGGGGCAACAACAAGTGCCAGAACGCGAGAAAACGATGAAGATGATGAAAATGATCTTCTTGATAAGAAGGTATTCGATATGAGCTGTGATATGGTGGCGTTGTTGAAAACAAAGGACTTACCGTGCTTGTTGTTGGTGATGATGGAGGAGAAGAGGGGGAGAAGTTGTGAGCTTGGGAGCGGGGTGGAGATACAGTAGAGAGCCAGGCCCCGGTGAGCACATCGGCGGTAGGGGCACGACACGGTGAAACATAGGATCCAGGGGTAGGGCAAGTTCAGTTGTACTGTCTGTACTCCGACTGCTACGACAGATCACTCTGGACCTACGAAGAATGAAGATTTGGTGATGCAAACTATCAGAATATGACCCCTGGTGCTACGAATACATGTTCAAACTTCATTTATGTGATTTAATGTGTTTGTGAAGCAGCTATGGTGTTGAAGCGACATGGCATCATGCCGGATACCGACGTCGGCGGGTGCGGCGACTTCTCGCATATGGGCTAACATCAACTGTTACACGAGAACTATGTCCCCTGAATGATGTCTCTTAGGGACTAAACTACTAAGGTTTGCGTAGACTGCATGTCATAGGCCTACAAGAATTCATGAGTCTTGCAATGCCATAAGTATACCCATATACCTACTCCACTGGAAGTGTACCTGAAAAGAAACTGTGTTTCTAACTAGGTTGAAATTCTATTGTCTTCTGTGAATGCATATTTGTGAATCGTAGAACTGCAGGTAAAATACTAAATGTCAAAGAAAAATAGCAAGACAAAAGAATGACAGGCTGCAAACAGCAAACACTCTTCAACAATCCTTTGACCTGCTAGCATTTTGTTTCTGTACTCTCACCAGACCTTTGTGACGCTGTTTGTACTGCCCATGTGAAATAATTCCGCTGATTTCGTGAGGTATCAATCTTGGACCCATACCAGCCATTTTCAGGTCTACAGCGCCTAGTGGTAATTCCACCACCTTGCACCAACACACCATTATCTATCCTTCCCATAAAGATCCACGATACTTCTAAGTCTCTCAAGCATGCTCTATCATTCTTGGAGCTTCCGTATGTCTTCATGTTGAAGATCACTCAAGTTGGCGGTGGACGACCCTCCCCACCTGGCATGACGTTACACTACATCACCACTGTAAAGATCCCTCTGCAGTCTTCTCATGTACATGAGAACTCTCTCGCATTGTCTTATTGACTTATGATAGCCATGCCACTTGCTGTTACTCTTCAAAAGAGATACCAGGGGCTGATGTCGACATCATGCTCCTGAGGCGCTACCGACCGCCGACCGGGAAGAACCATCAGCAGCTTGCACCGCCAAGTCAAGATCAACACATCCGTCTTCCTCGATCAGTTACAGACTCAATATTTAGTGAGCACTCAAGCGCTCGTCGCTTCCCAGGGGTTGGGCGATAATCCGCCCGAAAGGCGGCGAATACTGCCGTGTGAGTCCTCTGTAGCCATCGCCAGCCCTTCCTTGGTCGACAGTGAGCTTGGTTTCACTCAATAACAGAATTAATTATCTCAGAGGTAACGTGAAGCTCGCTGAGTCTGCCCGGGGTCAACACAAGTGCAGAGTGCGGCCATTGGGATCAAGGCGGCGGTTGCTTTCATAGAGGCGTCAGTCGAGGTCTCGGTCTCCTCTTCGTACAACTGAGGGCATCTCACACCCTGAGGCTCTGGTGGGTAGTATATTGACAAGGACTTCTAGCAATGCAGACTCCCATGGCCCCTGGCGACACAAGACGGTATAGCATAAGCTGACAGTTGGAGACACCCTACAGCGTCCCCGATACCCCCTACCCAGGAGCACTGGACATGGCGCCTGGCCTGCTCTTAGAGATGCAGACAGCAAGATCTGATGAGTATGACGGCCATCCCTCAGGGGGGTCGGTTACGTTGGGTTGAGTTTGTAAGTTGGAAGCCTCAGTCCTCTCCTTGCCTGTGGAAACGTTGTCTGACAGTTACTTTTATGTCCAACGAGCAGCTCAAGGAGCTTAGGAACAGTCGGATCATTTCCACGACAGACACACATTCATTGTCTGCACCATCGGACACCCTCTTATTACAAGCCAAGAAGAAAGACCCCTGAGCTGCAGGCAATACCGATGCGCACCGACTCCAACTCATTGTCTCCCCCTTTGGTCCCGCCAAGGCGGCTTCGTTCGTCCTTGAGCGCATGAGAATCATCGATGACCAGATCGCCGTCTGGGTATTCTACAATGACTTCGCTGGAATCGTCTTGGCCAAATCCATGACCTTGGGGCTGGAGGGCCGGTATACCGCAAAGCTAAATCCCAAGACCTGGCCTTGGTACGATGGACAGAGTCAAATTGCTTTTACACTTAGAGCTCACTGAGCTAGTCGTTGTTCACAGCTTCGTTCAGCGGTGGCTGTGACCAAGGCAGAGTGAAACCATGGGATCTTACAACAATATCGAATTTGACTGTCAGAAAGTGAATGGCTTCTCCATACCCTTTGTTGGATGAAGCGTTGAAAGCAATAAGCTCTCCAGTACTCTTTGGAGGACATCCAGGTTTACCAAAAGACCCTTCAGGGGCTCACGACAGAAGCCCAAAGAACGGGTTATGCCTCTGACTAAACTGACGAGGACACATCAGTGATACCACAGGTTCGTGTTATGTTTCATACACATTCGGCCCTCATACAATCGCTTCAATACGTTCTTTGGCATGATCCTTTTCTTTCAAGGTTGCGGAACGATTTCCCTTGGAGCTTTAGAAACCAACTCACTCGGCATAAACCATTGCTAACCATTTTCTCAGGGGCTTGTACGCTTTGGCCGTTACTTTTCCGACAAAAGATTCCCATAACCAGTCTCGATCCCCCTTCGTTCACGAGTAGCACCAACACCGTCTAAACCGAGTATCCCAAGAACTAGCTTATTTGTCCTGAAGAACTCGCGTCACCAGGCTCGCTGAAATCATTCAGGACCTTTCCGGCTTTGAGAAATTATATGCTCATGAAGAGCGCTCAAGAAAGGCTATTTGTGTGAGAACCTCATATATCTACACGCCTCGCCCAACACTCAGGGGCTGGCTTGTCTCCGGACTTACTATCAGAGGCGCTCATCAAATAACTCGAAACATTTTGTTCAGCCAGGCTTTCTCGCCCTCTTTTCTCATCTTGTTGAGAGCGAGTAAGGATCTCAGGGGTTCCACGGTGAGGCTCCATTTACACACTCAAACTATCTTTCACATTGCACTCAGTAGGCGGCCTCAAAGTCCATCCACCTGTTATCCTCAATACTTTCCAAAACTCAATTTCTGAGCTAACGGATGTTGTGCAGTTGAATCCTTACAGCTGCCCGTCAACTCTGAGAAAGAACGCACCCTGAAGAACCAATCCGAGAATCAAACCTCAGCACATTACTTCTGGATGCGACACATACCATTGAAACATGTTACGACAGTCGATTAGATATCAGGCTCGAGCTACGAAGCGTTTAAAGAAGTCCGGGCATCAGGCGGCCAAAGTTTGAGGAACTGGTCAGCCATTGCCTGCCTACAAGACATTCAATGATACTATAATCAGGTCAAAGAGACTTGGAACTTATCAAAATGCTTGTGTGTCCATAGAAATATGTTTGAGGTTTCTGTGGGAGAAGCTTTTC